ACATCTCTATGAATACCAAAATTTTATGGTAAATAGTATTTGCATATTCCACTGTGTTGGGTATTTTAATAGCTTTCTCATGTTCCCACAAATCTTTTCACATCATATCAACATTTTTAAAGGTGAACCAAACAACCTATTCTCAACCATATCATAAAAGATTTCAAAATCTTTGAAGAAAAAATTAAACTTAAGAAAAATTTAAACACTATATTACCATTTACATGTGATTATTGTCTTAAAGTATACTAAGAGCTGAGGGTGTGAGTACAAGTGTGTAATTGATAATGAAAACAGGAGTCATAAGAGTTATAAGGCACATACACAGAGAATAGAAATCCAAACAACCAAAGGCCAAAAGGCTGATCTCCGGTGTATGTGGGAGAGAATATCTGAAAGGTATCTCAACTGAGCGGGAGAGAGAGGCTCAGAGGAGGAGAGAGTGCTGAAATGGTAATGGCGATGAAAGACACTCTTTTCAAAGACAATATTATAACAAACTTTTCAGTTACCAAAGATTTTAAAGTAAAGTCAGTGATGTGACCTCATTTTCATTTTTACAAATCCATTCTTCGTGGTCTTTAGAAAATCACCCAGAAGGGAGAAAATAGATGAAAAGACATACATTTTAAGCTTATTTTAATCTCCCAAGGAAGAACCAGGAATAGAGTATTTCTTCTTACATGACTACAAGTGAAAGATCTCAACCTGTATTTTGATTAGTTTCAGTGTGACTTTTTTAAATCCTTGGTACAGCATCAAATTCTCATAATGTGTCTAAAAATTTTGTCCAGTAATGTGTAAGTCATTTCCTGTAAGAGCATATAAATTTTGCTCATAATAGATTAAGACCAATATAGCAATGCTATGCCTTAATGTAAAAGAGCTCTTCAGTGTAAAGGGAAAAATTCTTACCATTATAGTTATATTACATTTTCTTATTGCCTATTCTCCATCCATATCCTAGCTAGAATTCCAAGCACGCCAATATTTAGGTTTACCTCAGTGATTATGGCTGAAGTTGTTGAGTGAGTCTGGTACGGCAGTTCTGTCTGAACGGACAATGCAGCATTTATTGCTTTGTCTGATGTTCCCAAAGGTATTATATGGCAACCTTTCTTTTCCTAGCTTTCTCTTTCTTTCTCTTTCCACTTACCATTTCATTCATTAATGAAATGTGCTTATGATCTCACACACACACACACACACACACAGCTACTTTTTCTATCGGTTTTCAGAATAAATGGTGATATATGATAAGAGTCAGTTAAGAGTGTTCAACAGGATCATCAAATAAAAAAACTAATTATTTTCTGATACTACTGAATTAATATAAGGCAAACATTTATATCAAAAGACTGTAATTTTATTAGTAATGATAGTAAAAAAAACAGTCAAGGTTAAAATAGATATTGTTTCCAGAGATGAGTAATAAAAATAATTTTTAATCATTAATTGGGGATCAAAACAGACTATCAATTATTTGCTAGATATTATAATGTATCTGTAGTTCATGAGAAAGGCAAGGAATCTGGGGAGAAAACTATAAGCTTAGAAAAATCCTCAAGTATGTGATTTTTCTAATGTGGCTTTTCAGTTGAAATTGAGATAGTGGCATAAGTCTACTCAGGTAGATCATTGGAGCAGTTCAATTGGTTAATGTACAAACAGAGATATGTAGCTTCCTTTCTGAAGAGTGATATCAAGACAACTGGATGCAGAAAGGCAAGATATCTTAGGTGATGAAGATACTTCCTTCAGAGTCTGAAGGTGCGGTTTCTACTACTGAGACCCAAATGCTGAAAGGAAAAAAACAAGTTCTGCATGTTATTCTCTGACCTCCACATACACAGAATAAATAAATAATCAAATAAACTTAATAATTTTCAAAATACAACAGAATGGTCAAACCTTATCTTTGCACCAAATCTTGCTGATAAAACACAATATTCTTGCAGAAAAAAAAGAATGTTAATTTAACACCAAGAGATAACTCCCAAGTCGTAATTGTGGATATTAAAATAACAAAACTTTTATTTTATTTTATAAAATATTATAAATATTTGGAGTAGTTTTGTTTTTGATAAAGATAGTTAATAAAATGAAGATAATCATGCACTAAAAAATTTCTTGAAATTACATAAATTATATCAATAATGAAAACATGAGTGGGACATTTTCAATAAAAATAACAACTGGCAAAATTTCTTTAGCTATTATTATTTTATTTTAATGAATTTTCTTCCTTTTTATTAATTACATTAGTTCCATGACAATTTTATACTTTCCAATAGAATGAAGCCCCAAATATCGAATAAAATTCTTTTTCCTATTTTCTTTTTCAAATTTCTTATCAAGAACTACATCTAAAAACACCAATCACCTCACATTTTGAACTATATTAGAACTGTTCTATATGTAGAACTATATGTAGAAGTGCTCATTTGTCTTGTTTTGCAGGGCTACTGGTGATCTATCCAGTGGTATGGGAAGTCCTTCTATATATGTGTTGCTTTTATTGGTTAATGAATAAGGAAGCTGTCTTGGACCTGGCAGGGCAGAATAGAGGTAGATGGGAAAACTAAATTGAATGCTGGGAGGAAGAAGTTGGAGTTAGGAGACACTATGAAGCTGCCAGAGAGGAAAGATGTGAATTGTCATCTGGAAACTTGCTGGTAGACCACAAGTCTCGTGGCAAAATCTAAAATAATAGAAATGGGTTACCAAAGATATAAAAGCCAGCTAACAAGATGCTTAAGTGATTGGCCAAAGAGTGATTTAAATAATATAGTGTCTTTGTGATTATTTTCAGGAGTCTGTGCAGCCAGGAAGTGAACAAGTGGCCTTCCAACAACAATCCAGTGCCTTGGGCATCCTCAGTAAGATCTATACCCACAAGGGATTCCTAGCCTATCATTAATGGTTAAGAAGTTTGGAACCCAAATCCTCATACTGGATCACTTTGTCCAGCCTTAATACATGGGAGGTGTTTAGTCTTACTGCAACTTTATATGCCATGCTTTCTTTATATCCATGGGAGGCTTGTCCTTTTCTAAACAGAAATGAAAGAGGAGTGGATTGGTAGTGGTGGGGCACAGAGGTGAGGTGGAGGAGGGACTGAGAAGAGAGGAAGGAGAGAAAATTGTAGTTGGGATGTAAAATAAATTAGTTAAAAATATGAAGTATGAAGTTTCTCAACCTTGCTTATTATTATAGAGTAGACTAATTCCAAGAGTTTCTTTGAAAAGAGTCAATATGGATTCAATATATTTAAATGAACTTTTGTGACATTAATACACATCGCTAGTATTGAAGAGATTTTCATTTTTATTATTGATTTTTATTGAGCTTTACATTTTTCTCTGCTTCCCTCCCTGCCTCTCCCCTCCCTTCTTCAACCCTCCCCCAAGGTTTCCACGCTCCCAATTTACTCAGGAGATTTTGTCTTTTTCTACTTCCCATGTAGATTAGATCTGTGTAAGTCTCTCTTAGTGTCCTCATTGTTGTCTAAGTTCTCTGGGATTGTGGTTTGTAGGCTGGTTTTCTTTGGTTTATATTTAAAAACCACCTATTAATGAGTATGTGTGATAATTGTCTTTCTGTATCTGGGTTACCTCACTCAAAATTATATTTTCTAGCTTCATCCATTTTTCTGCAAAATTCAAGATGCCATTATTTTTTTTTCTGCTGTGTAATATGCCTTTGTATAAATGTACCACATTTTCTTTATCCATTCTTCGGTCGAGGGGCAAGGGGTATTTAGGCTCTTTCCAGGTTCTGGCTATGACAAACAATGCTCCTATGAACATAGTTGAGCAGATGTCCTTGTGGCATGATTGAGCATCCTTTGGATACATACACAAAAGTTGTACTACTGGGTCTTGAGGAAGGTTGTTTCTTAATTTTTGAGAAATCCCCGCACTGACATCCAAAGGGGCTGTACCAGCTTGCATTCCCACCAGCAGTGTAGAAGTGTTCCCTTTTCCCCACAACTTCTCCAGCATAAGTTGTCATCAGTGTTATAAAGTCAACCACACTGAACCTTATAGAAGAGAAAGTAAGAAGTACACTTGAACACACTGGCACAGGAGATCACTTCCTAATATAACCTCAGCAGACACTTACAGACACTGAGAGAAACAATTAATAAATGGGACCTCCTGAAGCTAAAAAGCTTCTGTAAAGCAAAGGACACAATCAACAAGACAAAACAACAGCATACAGAATGGGAAAAGATCTTCACTAACCCCACCTCAGACAGAGGTCTGATCTCCAAAATATACAAAGAACTCAAGAAATTGGTCACTAAAAGAACATATAATCCAATAAAAAAAATGGAGTACAGACCTAAACAGAGAATTCTCAATAGAGAATTCTAAAATGCTGAAAGACTCTTAAGGAAATATTCAACATCCTTAGTAATCAGAGAAATGCAAATCAAAACAACTCTGAGATTCCATCTTACACCTGTAAGAAATGGCCAAGATCAAAGAGGTTTTTTTTTAATGTTTAAGAATATGTACTTACATAGGATCCAGGTTTGTTTCTCAGCACCCATGTTGTGCCTCACAACCATCTGTGTCTTCATTTTCAGGGAATTGGATGCCCTCTTCTGGCTACTGTGGAATCCAGAAACTCATATAGTGTACATATGTAAACGCAGGCAAAATAAATGCTTATCATAAAATGAAAACAAGTGCTTCTTTTTAAAATTAAGTTACTAACACAAATACATAATGATATTTTAAAAATACTCATTAATTTTTAATTATCGTAGATGTATAATGATGATAATAAAATTCAAAGGATAGTTAAGAAACAGGGTTCTTAAAAGCATTTTAATAAATGCTATCATATGATTGCTAAGTCAGATACAAAGTAAGTATTCCCTCAACATAAATATCCTCTAAGACTTTCTTTCCCATTCATGGTCTCTGTCAAGAAACATTTGTGGGTTTTTTTTTTTTTTTTGCCAACACGTCAAAAAAAAAAATCCTTTATTCCTTTATACAGCCTCATGCTTTCTTGCCAGCTGTCTTTGAAGCAGGGGCTTTCTGGGCTGGGGTCTTCTGACCCTTCTGACCTTTAGCAGTAGGTACTGCCTTCTGGCCTGCAGCCTTCTTGGCGGGTCCTGTCGCCTTTTTGGGTGGAACTTTACCATTAGCAGCAGCCGCAGCTGCAATGGCAGCCTTTGCAACAGGCGCCTTTTTGGGAGAGGCTTTCAGGATAGCTGCTCTCTGAAGTTTCTTGACTTCAGTCTTGATGATTCTGTTCCTCATTTTCTTTGCCTTCATGACTTTGAAACGATCAAAATCTGTCATCTTGGCTTTCTTTTCCCTGGCACCAATCTTCGTGGTCCATCCTGTGGCTGCCCGTTTCGTATTGATACCCGTCTTCTCCCAAGCTTTCCGCACACACTTGTGTCGGGCACCGTGTGGGAACTTGAGGATGAAGTCAGTGAGCTGCATGCATTTGAAAGGCATGGCCTGTCTCCTCACCCAAGTGCAAAGTCCATCCATCAGAGCCCGGTTCTGATCAATAACATCTACAATCACGACCAGCTTTCCAGCATGAGGTCCAAAGGAGACGTAGGCCACCCGGTCAACCTCCATGAAACGTCTGAACACCATGTCGGCGGTGTTTCAGCGAGAAGCTCAAGAAACATTTTAAGTGATGTTAATTTTCCAAAAATATCAAAATATAAGATTTCCTAAAACACAATGAATTTAACGACCAATAAATACATCAAACAAATTATATGCTATATATTTTGAAAAAAATCTAGTACTATGTTGTTATGAAAGTCAATGAAATGATTCTGCTATATTCATAGATTGGTGCCTAGGCTAACTGTTGTCAGAAAGGCTTCACCCAGCAACTGGTGGTGGAAACAGATGTGAAGACCCCCCAGCAAACACTAGGCAGAGCTCAGGGAGCCTTGTGGAAGAGGCAGATTTATAGAAACCAGTGGGGTCAAGGACATCACAAGAAAACCCACAGAATCAACTCATCTGAGTTCATAGGGTCTCACAGAGATATGACAACCAGGGAGCCTGCATGGGATTGACCCAGGCAATCTGCATATGTTACAGTTGTGCAACTTGACCTTCTTGTGAGATTTCCAAAAGTGGAAGCGGGGCTGTCTCTGACTCTGCTGCCTGCTTTTGGAACCTTTTCTTCCTATTGGACTGCTTTGTCCTTCCTTAATAGGAGAGAAGGTGCCTAGTCTTACGGCAACTTGATATACCATGGTTAGCTTATGGCCACAGGAGTCCTGTTCTTTTCTGAAGAGAAAGGGGGAGGAGGAGTAGATGAGGAGGGAGGATTGACTAAAGGAGGGATAAGGAGGAGAGGAAACTGTAGATGGGGTGTAAGAACAAAACACTAAGTTTAAAAAGTCACTGAGTCTCTCAGCTAAATTCTATTTTATTTTCATAAGAAATACATGGGACCTGATCTACAAGCTATAGAGAAACCCTGTTTCAAAAAAAAAGAAGAAAGAAAGAAAGAAAGAAAGAAAGAAAGAAAGAAAGGAAGGAAGGAAGGAAGGAAGGAAGAAAGAAAGGAAGAAAGAAAGGAAGGAAGGAAGGCCGGGGTGGTTAAGAATGATACCAGAAATCTTAGCATTGCAGAAGAAGAGGTAGGCAGGACAACACAGTAAGACCATATCAGATGAAGCAGGGAGTAGGAGGGGTGGGGAATAACCAGGGACAGTTTCTGCCCTCTGCCTACAAGCAAGCAAGATAAATATTTAGAAAGGCAAAAGATACCTTGCTTCCTATCTTTGCCATGGGGAAGAAAGTCTAACTACTGAAGACCCCTGTAGATCCTCCTCAGCCTTGAGATGATACCAGGGAAGTTCATATTAACAAACACTCCTAACTTGTTTGTTCCATCTCCCCAGCAAGTTGTTCACAATGGAGACGTGTGCCCAGTGTTGATCCTTTTCTCACACCGGTCACCAGTGCATTCAGTATAAGACTTCAAAGCAGGGAAACAAAGAATTGGAAGTATGCCTTGTAAACTGTTTGCATTTAAGGTAGGAGGAAAGGCAGCAGGGATGTTGAAAACAGAGGAGCATGAACCTTTCATTCAGTTCTAGTCAGTGTGCTGAGATACTTTCCTTGTGGGCAGACTATATACATGTATAGCATTACTATACTTCTTTTAGAAAGTAGGGTTTCTTTTTTGTTTAAAATAAATGACCAAGAAAGGCATTCCTAAACCCAATAAGTGTGTCATTCCTGGAAATGATGTTCGATCCCTATGACCCACTTAGATACAAACAGCTCTTTTTGTGAACTCCTTATGTACTCAAATTTTAAATTTAAAATATGGTTCAAATTTTACTAAAATGAATTATTTAGATTGTTAAACAAAGGTATACTGCTGTTGGGAAATTTGAGAAATGTAATGACACTTTTAGAGGAAATGTTCCAAACATTAGGAAGTAGGGTTCATTTATAAAGTTTATGTGATGTATTTTAGAGCTCTTATTGCAAACCCATCCTGATCTAAGCTTTTCTAATATATGGATTTAACAAGAAAATAAAACAAAGGTGCAATAGTGAGTTATTATACCTTGCCATCTAAATAGTAGGTATTAGACATCTTTAGAATATATTAAATTGCATTTCACATTTGGTTAAAATCAAGAATATAGTGAGTAATTTTAAAGTGTCTTTAAACTTATATGATATGTTATTGAGGAAAGCATGTGGCCCTGTCTGTGCCTGAGTGTTTCCTCAGTTGAGAGTTACTAATGGTATCCTCTATGTAAGGATTGTGAGAGGAAAATATTTGTACAATAAATTTTATTTTTAAGATTTGTTTTATTTTTATTTATTATGTGTGTTTCTACATGTATGCCTAAGTCTGCACATGCATACACATACACATTTTTCTGTGATTATATGTTACTTGTGTGTAGGTGCCTGTGGAAGTCAGAAGAAGCATTCACTCTACTTAAGACTGAGTAACAAGTGGTTATGAGCTACTGAATGTTGGTTTTTGTAAATGGACATTTTCTGTCCTGACTGCCTGGTCCCAAATAATCACTCGGAGGCTTATATTAATTGTAAATGCTTGACTAATAGCTCAGGTTTATTACCAACTAGCTCTTAAATTTTAAGTTAACCCACATTTCTTATTTCCACTCTGCCACTTGACAGTACTTTTATTAGCAAGGAACATCCTTCTCCTGCTCCCTCTGCATCTGGCTGGTGACTCCTGACTTTGCCCTTCTCCTTCCTTAGTTTGGTCACCTCTCCTAACTTTCTGCCTGGATACTGGCCAATCAGCATCTTATTAAACCAATTCAAATGACAAATCTTTACAGTATACAAGAGTATATAAATCTTTACAGTATACAACCTGTATTCCACAACAGGTTCTGGTCTTAACCAGGGTCTACTGGAAGAGTGGCAAACAATTTTAAGCCCCAAACATTTCTTCAGGCTCTTGTGCAGCCTTTTTAACACTATCTGATAAATAATAAAAATTCAATGAAGAGTAATAATTCTAAGTCAAAATATATTAAGACAAAGACCATGTTAGAATTTAATAATAAATATAAAATAGTAACTCTGTAGGCTAGTTGTGTGGTGAAATACTGAAGCTATGAGATTAATGACAGTAATTTTCCAGGTAAAACAGTGCTTTACTTTCATAGTTATGTTGTTTTTCCATGAAATATCTATTTAAAAGCAGTTGTAAAGTTAGCTTTATACATGTTGTAATTCTTTATTTCAAATACCCTTTTCTTGTTCAACACTGTAATTGCATATCAGAGTCAGGTATCATATTCAGTATTCATAATGTTGCCACCTATAATTGAATTGTCCTAGGCCAGAACCAAATACCATTATTTCATTCATTTCTAATCACATAATACAGACATTTATTCACAAATCTAATTTGTTGATGTAGTGATTATGATTCCTTGTTTGTTACCTGTTCCTCACATTTGCTTCTTCTCTTTTGTTCTAAGCACAACAATTGCAAGAATTAACCTCATGTCAATTCTTCAGGTCAGATATATCAGGAAAACAGTGTCCTCATAGTAAATGAGATGAGATATGAATAAATCTGTCCTATTGTAAAATACTGTTAAATCAATAATTCATTTCCTTACACTGTCCTATTACTCCTTTTGTAAGTTAAATAACAGTGATGTGTCAGGCATTCACAATAACATTGTGAATCCAAATATAAGGATGGCTAACGATTCATTGCTTCTAGGCCTCTTCTTTCTGAATCACCTCCCACATCCACTTCCACTTTGTCTTATTATTATCTTTTTATTATTTAGTCTGACAATAGTTTCTAAATCACAAGGAAAAGTGAATACAAGAAGTTGCTTTGTATCTTTTGTTTGTCACAATTCATATGGAAAGGAACATGTCTGTCACTGAAAAATTCTAGTATAAAATGTGAATTCATATTCTAGTTTAAAATCTTTGCGATGATAGCCCAGGAAAAGAGTTGATAGAATGTTGACTGTAGAGATACCACATACATTCTACAAACAAGCAAGAAATCCCCAAAGAAAAACTGCCTCATGTCTTCAAACCCTCGGTGACTATGGATAGCTTATTGCAGTTCTCTTTGCTTTTGTTTGGGAAGTTGGAGCCATGAAGCTTCTGCATCAAGTCGAAAAGCATCATGATTGAACCATAAGATGGTAAAGCTGTTCTAGATAGAACTTTCTATAATCTGTGACTCTTCTGCTTCTCACATGATCCCTTTCTCAAAAAGAAGGCCACACCCAGTGCTTGTCAGAACACCTCCTCTAATCAGTAAATATTTGGCAGAGCAGAAACAGGTAAATGTTTTTGGAACTGGGAACAATATTAACCCTTCAATATCTTATTCATGGAATTCTCTATCTTCTAAGAATCTCTTGACCCCAATTCTCACTGTCTCCCCATGACGCCTTCCACTTTATATACCAAGTCAAAACAAACTCAGGTGCCACTGACACTTCATTGTAGGTTTTGTCCTAATTGTCATGCTTGAGTGGAAGATGCATGACAATTGTATCTTCTTTGTCTGACACACACTGCATGTGTCAAACAGATGCTAAAAGTATTGTGATCAATGACTTCAGTTATTCTTTAGAAACTCATTTAAATTTTTCTCTTCATTTTTATTAACTCTTTTAATTTTCACATTATAATTAATAATTTACCCTTCCCATTCCTCCTTCTGAACTTTCCCATCTAGTTCTCCTTACTCTTTTTCAAATTCATAGTCTCTTTTTTCACTAATCATTGTTGCATGTATATATGCATATGTGTACACATATATATTCCTAAATATGACCTTCTCATATTTGACCATGTGGTGGTTTCTCTATGTAATCAGACTTTCATGGTTTATATACCACACAGAGTTTGATCCGTCAACTTCTCAGTCATGGTAGTATTATTTCAGTCAGTCCACAAACCAGGAGCTTTCAACTCAGACACCTACTGATTTGCCCTACTGATTTAATTCCAAATGACCACCATTCATCAACAAGCAATCATATTTGTGCTCTTTTAAAAGCTTTCTGTTCCTCCTCTCCTCCTTACTTTCCTGATTATGGAAATGAGTCCTTTTAGTGTTAAAATTCATGGTGCTTATAATACGGTTTGGCACATAATAGAGCCTGAGTAATATTTTGAAGATCACTGCAGTCTCTCATATTTAGAGACTCTCATTCACCAGCAACAACACGTTGCACCCCAAATCGCTTACTGAGGGCAGCTTGGATCTGCCTGGATTTGAGACTATATACCAGAGGGTTTAGCAGTGGGGTCATGAGGAGGTAGGCATTGCTCATGGTGGTATAGAGAAGTGGAGAAGTTTCCTGCGTGTATCGATGCAGCACTGCTAGGCTGATGAGAGGCAAGTAGAACACCAGCACTGTGCAGAGGTGACAGGCACAGGTTTGCAAGGATTTCCAGTTTCGATCTTGGATCCCTAATTTCATCACAGTGCCTAAGATCTTCACGTATGAAACTACAATGAAGACTGCATCCACTGCAAATGTACAAAGTACACAGACCAATCCGTACACGCTACTGATCGTGACATCTCCACAAGCCAAGTTCAGCATATCTGGGTAGTAGCAGTAGGAGTGTGAGAGGATGTTGGCTCCACAGAAAGGAAATGTCCTGAGAAAAAAAGGCAGTGGGGCCAACAGCGTGGCTCCACGTATGAGGGCAGCACCACTAAGGCAGACAACAGTTTGGTGAGTCAGGATTCTTGTATAGTTTAGTGGAGCACAGATAGCCACTAAGCGGTCAAAAGCCATGGCCACCAGAACACCTGATTCGACAGAGGAGAGAGTGTGGATAAAGAACATTTGAGTCAGACAGGCATCCAAACCAACGTCATGGATATCAAACCAGAAGATTGCCAAGACACTAGGCATTGTTGACAATGAAAGGCCTAGATCAGTAAGGGCTAGCATAGCCAAAAAATAAAACTGGGGTTCATGAAGGCTCTGCTCTGCTCTAACTAGAAGGAGTAATAGAATATTGCCCCCAAGTGCTACCAGGTAAAGGAGACAAAAAGGGATGGAGATCCACATATGTGCAGCCTCTAGACCAGGAATCCCAATGAAGGAAAAGGTGGGCCAATCCGATGTATTACTCGGACCTGACATGGCGAGATGTAGATGGGATTGCAATTCAGAACACTCACAGATCTACAAAAGAGAAATCGTATCAGAGAACTTTAAAACGCAGTAAAAAGTAAAATAGAAATTTTTTACGTGGAATAGCAAAATTGAAGCACGTGGATTTCAAACTTTGTCATCCAGTTATAGGCAGAGACTGCAGAACAATTAGAATTCTTAGAAAGTACTGAGATGATATAAAATTGTACAGTCTTTATGGAAAATGATTTGACAGTCTCTTTTAAAGTAAAACACAGATTTACGATTTTCTGATTATTTACCCAGTGATTGCTTTACTTTGAATTTTTTTAATAGAATTAAAAAACATGTTAATAAAAGACATATATAGAATTATTCCTATGCACTATTTATGATAGCCAAATATAGAAAATATACATTTATTGTTAAATGAAAAATAAGCTACAAAAGATCCAAATAATTTAAATTTTCAAAGGAAGAAATCACTAAAAGACAAAACAGAAGGAATTATTCACTATGCAAACAAAGAGGGAAAATGAATGCTGCCTGATCTAATATACATGAAGAAATAAAGCAACAAATTCAAGTACAGCTGATTAGAGAGACTGGGAGTAACAGGTTGTAAGGAATGTGGCTGGCTATGCACATTAACCACTGGTGAGCCGTTAGGAAAAGTGTGTGCTTTCTTCCATAATCCTGTCCTTTAACTGATTCTTAAAGGAAATGCCTGTATGTTTGTGAAACTACTAGAGTCTGAGTTCAGAACTTTCTAATGTCAAGAACAAAGCTCAGGCTTCTGTGTCTTACACGCTCAACTATTAGACCCTTGTAGATCACCCTCACCATAGTGACTGAACTAACAGAGATCAGAGATCTCACCGACACATTTGTTTAAATATATTTTCAACATTTTCTGTTCCGAGTCCTAAATCCCTGATGTATATTTCCACTCTTGCCACACTCAAAGATCTCTTTGCATATACATTGTACAATATATAGTTTATTTTTTAGTTATTTTACCCTTATAAATCTGCATAGACTTTTTGTATTTTTTCAGAAAAATGAGTGAGCTGGTCATCCATGAAACGCCTGATTATTTGCTTTGTGGTTATGAGGATAAGAAGTGAGGAAGAATTGTAATGAATTTGAATTATTATTTGCAATGCATGAGAGGTTTGTCTTTAGTTACCTTTTTATGCTGATTTTCATGTTTGAATGAGACTATTGTAATTTGATTCATGTATTCTTGAAATCAGAAATAGCAGAATAAATTACTTCTGTCGAGATTAATACTGATAAATTCATTGTTTATAAAATCTAAATTTATAGTCTTTTCCAAGTTTGTTAGTTTACCCATTCCCTCAAGCCCAATGCTGTAGGTGGACCATCTTTTCTTTGTATCTTTCATACTCATTGAGTGAAATACTGTTTAAATATTATTAATTTATAAAAAAACCCACAATTTTATCTCCTCCAAAGAACATCGTCTCACCATCTGGCAGGATTAGCAGCCCTCAGTTCTATACTCACATCAGAGCTGGATTCTCATTAGGTTCCTCCCCACTTACTCATACTAAATTATCTGTTTCTACAACTGTTTGGGTGTTTTTGACACATTTTCTGAAATATATGTGTGATTACTATCAATGATATTTTTTATAAATGTATATAAATTTGACCTAATTCAAATGATTGAACTTAGTAAGCTTATTTCAGCAATATTTTTTTCTGTTAGCTAGAGTTGCAATGATAGTGCTATATTTTAATGTTGTTATGTGGATTAATTCTATGAAATGAGAGTGAAAAAGAAATTGGTGCACTTTCTAAAGGTCAATCAATTAGCAATCCTTTCTGTTCTGCCATAGAATTCAGTTTAACACAAACTTTCTAGGTAAATTTCAGATATTGTAAATAAAATTCTATGTAATTTTTGTAAATCAGAAAAAACTGTGTATATCCTAAGCATAAGATATGATTAAAACTATATATGTATACATATACATGAACTCATTAAGATGATCCATAAGATACAACTGTGAATTGTGTATGAGTTAGATTCTATATATAGACATGTGGATATATATGTAAATATATGTATCCATACACATGCATATATAACATATAAAATATATAAATAATCTTTATGCATCATTCATATTTTTGAGAGTATTGTACAAAAATTAGCTTAATTTTATCCTGTTCCTGGTCACTAATTTTAGCTTAAAAATAATGGGTGAAAGAAAATGGCAATATAAATAAACAAATACTGAAGAAATACTCAGAGACACATATGGAAATAAAAAAGAAAAAAGTAAGAATAAAATTTTCAGTGAAAAATACATTAATTAAAACACTGTGTTAATTGATTTATCTAGCTCCATATTCCAGTGGTAAAGTTGCAACACATTTACTTGATCATAGTAATGTGGTTTCTATAGACACATAGACTAAGTATATACGATTGATAGTTTGTGTGTATAAACCTAAGGGATAAAGATATGTAGATACTAAATAAAATATTATTTATAGAGCTATACAGCTTTTCCTCCTCAAAGACAAATTATAATATTACACAGGTTCTCACTCATCCTTTGAGTGAGAAGTCACCTGTTAGAGACAAATTATCAACTTTATGAAAATGTTTAAACAAAGGCATGTATGCAAGATTGAAATTGACTATCAAGTCACGGAAGAGCTCCCTACCCAGATAAATCCCAGCTTCTTAAACTGGTAGTTTTAATCTGGCTTGGCATAGTCCTGGTTACAATTTGAATATTTGAATATCTTTAAATTTGTGAATAAAATAACAGGTATCATTAGAAAGCATGAGTGAAATATTTGTATGAAAGAAAGTGCTTTCTTGGGTTAACTGCTGAGTGAGGAGGCTTCTCCCTAAGCATGTGGCATTATCTACTGTACCACATGAATTGGAATAATGATCTATATAATTCTCATGCATGCTTGAAGAACTGACTCTCAGAAAAGATGTCAAACAAAACAAAATAAAGCAAAGCCAAAAACCACAGTGCCCATTCAGCTTTCTAAAAAACAGTGTGAACTCAGAGCACTGACTCTTCAGGTATTGGCAAAGACAATAAATAGTACATAGAAAATGCAACTAATCAATCATATAATTCTACTTATTTACTCAAACATCAAATTCTCTAGTATAATTTTCAAACCAAACATTTTATAACTCAACAATACAATCCCTTTAGTTTTGATCATTTTTGTCATGGAAAACAAATTACTGGTGGTTTTTTTTTAATTTAGTCACTGAATTAAATAAGAAGTGGTTGTTTCGTACAGCACTGTTTGAGTGACTTTCTAGAGCTCAGTAGCAGACATCACTTCTTCCCTGAATACTCACTCCCTGTGTGGTAGTAGCCAGCCTTCTCTTGTTCAGAAGCATCTGTTGCAGGGTTCTCCTCCTTGAGTCAGGAAGTTCTTCACTCAAAGTTGAGAGGAAGAATCTTACCTCAAGGGTTTATTACTGATTTATAGACTCAGGGTCTCCCAGGTGCCTGACAAGCTCTACTGAGACTTTAAAAGTTCAGGGAATTTCTAACTATACCTAGGCAAAAACCCATTAAATTTATCTTTGTTCCAGGGGATTTGAGGAGAAGACTGCTTTTCTTACAGACCTTCTTAGTAAGCTATTGTACTGGAGAGAGGGATAAGGATCATTTTAGTAGAAAATGAAGATCTGGCCAATTTCTTCCTTTATTGTATGATAGGCAAGTTGAAGTGAAAATGTGTAAAGGTTCTATGTATTCATAGATGAGGTCAAGTATCTAGGATTGTGAGCTTTTAAATAGATAAAGAGATTGCTTAGGAGAAGTTTTACTAAAAATATGTGAGTATATGACATTCAGTGTCAAAAATGCATGACTATTTCAAGTGATTTTGAAGCACACTTATCTGTTTCTCCTCTCTGAGAGTAACAAAGAAAAATGTCTTGAATTTAATATATTTAATATTAAGTATACCACTTTAAATCACCTAGCTGAATTACAAGATTTATTTTTTCTATTTGAATTTTAGAATTTCTCCTTATAAAAAGCCTTAGATAATTTATCTGTTATCTTACAGTTTATGGACATTCACAAAACATTTTTAAAAAGCCTAAAACCATTACTTTTGAGTTTTCTGTAAATGTGAAAAATACCTACACTTACTCTGTCCTCAGCTTTTTCCTTCACTATCCCACATGGTAATATCACAGAAGCATCTTGCATATCCCTCCAGTGATCTTTCTCAACATCACGTCATTTTTGTTCATTATCTGTGTCTTATAAATTCAGAATTTACGTCACTCAAACATCATTACATTTTCCATTTAAGGTTCTCCTCCCCCACCCCATGCCCTCAAGACAGGGTTTTTCTGTGAAACAGTCCTGGCTATCCTAGAACTCACTTTGTGGACCAGACTGACCTCAAATTCACAGATATCCACCAACCTCTGCCTCCTGAGTGCTGGGGTTAATCGCATGCACAACCATGGTCCAGCTCCTCTTAAGTGTTTAAGTAAAATTCCTACTAATGTAAAGAACACACTAATTGGTTATTCAAAAGTATAAATGATACATGAATATGAATTTATGTATTTATATGTGTATGAACATAAACATATATGCATGTAACAGCAATTGGTGGAAAAGAGGCCATGAATTTGAAATGGAGTAAGTAGGGGTATATGGATGGGACTGGAGGAAAGGAAGGCAAAGAGGAAACAATTTAATTATAATCTCAAAAAAATTAACAACAACAACGACAATAATAATAATGGTTGATTGTACCCTGAGCCTAACCTCTGACTATTCATTACCTACTGTTCGTTGGCAGGGTCTTATGGATATCAGTGAGGCTTTAGCTGCACTTTTTCTACTGAGAGAATAATATAAAGTGAGGATAACGCCTTCAGTTTTGTGTCTAGTGGGGCTCCCACCAAGCTCTAATAAATATCTATAATGGAAAAGTTTCACAGATGGCCCTCACTAAAAACAAACAGGTCCCAAAACAACCCAAAAGT